TTTTTCATTATCAAATAAAAAATCGATTCTATGTTATTTCTTTATGAGCTGTATATACCTTGAGTTTCAATACTTACCCCTCTCTCTCTTCATGAAGAGACGATAAATGCTTAAGATTTCTATATTTGTCAAATATTTTAGATGCATAGATAAGGTATGCATATAACCACTGCATCAAAACATGTAATCCGGTTAAACCTACCTTCTCATCCTCACACACTTACAAGCCACATTGTCATGAACCTCTGCCCTAAGACTTGCGGGAATTCTTGGAACCCCTCCCGTAATGATGCTCAATATTGCTGGTCGTGCACATCATCACGGGACGAACTAAACAGTTTGACAGATTTCGGAACCACCTCATTATCAATGACCACCTTGGTATCATCAGAAGTTTAAGATGTTATGTTCGTGAGCCCATGCATCCTCAAACTAACAAAAAAAATTACACAAGCAATCATTGGGCCTGATGGGAGGTTCTACCCAAGCCGAGGTGATGACGACCTACCGGTAGGGCTGGACATAATACAACAAGTTGTGCTGAACTTATCTATACTATATTATACTTAAAAAAACTAAACTGTTTTTTACTAAAAACTAAGTACACTATTTTATAGTTTAGTTTAAAAAAACTAAACTTTTTATAGTTTGAATCCAGTTAACTTATGAACTATTTCTTTTTTTATATTTCTTTCAATCACTTCTAAAGAAAACTTATCTATTCTTTCTTAAAATGCATCACACTTCATAATTTGCTATCTTAAATTTGTCTTTTAAATCTACAATTTCTTGATCATAAGCATTTTGTATGCTTTTTGACTCAATGAGTTCAGATGTTCTATTTCTGAATGATAGAATCTATAATAGGGTCACATGAAATAGTGTAAATATTGTTTATTTGAGGGTATTTTATATTATAAACATTTATGATATTATATCATTATTTGCACAAGGTTTCTGCTGTTGATATTAGAGTTGTCAAAACGGGTAACTTGACTCGACCCAGTCTGATTCACCACGTGTTGGCCATTTAGTGAGCTAATCCAACCCGGCTCACTTATTAGCGAACTGAAAAAATTTGAACCCGACCCACCACGGGTTGACGGGTCAAACAGGTTGGCTCACTGACTCATTTAATTATAAGGTTTTTTTTAAATAAAAAAATTACAATTTTTTTAGTTCAAATATAAATAAACGTCACACTAAAAAGATATTAAACTTCAAAAACAACTCAAAATAAAATAAAAAAGTATCATACAATTCAAGCATAATAAAAAAACATGTACAAAAGACGAACAAATAAGTTTTTAATATTTATAATTTTTGTATCATTTGTCCATTTATAATATTAAATTATTGAATAGATAAATCTATAATATTTCTCTCTCTTGGAACATCTTCTTTATCACCATCTACAATATAATAAGAAAATGCTAACTAATAATATTGAAACACAAAATAATAAATAATTAAATTAAATAGGTGGGTTGGTGAGCCGATCCGGCTCACCACATGTTCAACTCGGTAAGCTGGGTTCTAAGTGAACCGGATAAAAAACAAATCCACATAAAAAAATTATATTTTTTTCAAACCCAACCCGACTTAAACCTATGGTGAACCGAACGGATTAGGATCCATTTTGACAGCATTAGTTGATATTAATTTGGTGTTGATGCTGATATATCTTATATTAATTAAGCAATGAATATGTTATAAAAAGTATAAAATCTAAGACTTGATTTTTTTTCCTATGAAACAAGATCAAGAATTTATATTGCAGAGGACAACATTTTTGTTTATGCTTTATAATTACCTCTTTGTAATGCATTAATTATCTCTCTGCACCTAATAAAAACAATTCATTAGATTTGTTGTATTTTTTCTTTATGTACTGCCTATTTTTTTCACATTACAGGAGAAGTTTGATCTTGAAGTTTGGTAAAATAATTTGGTTTTAGAAAGAAATTGAACCAATTTATTAAATTACCCTAAAAAAATTCATTCAACTACACTATAAATAAACTAAAAAATAATTCAGTTCAATTTCTATGAACTATATTTTAATTCAGTTTAATTGAGGAAAACTATTTTATGATTAATTATAAATTTTTATAGTATAATGCAGTACACTCTGACCACAATCCCTACCTACCGGAGGCTGTGGAGGACTCCACTGGAGGCTGCCGCGAGGACTCGACCGGAGCAGAATATGAGATGAGTGGTGTGGGAACACACATTTAATCCAATGGCCAGTTCAACAACGTCCATATGGCTCGTCTTGCACCCCTCTGACGAGCAAGCCCTCCACCAAGAAAGATACCTTGATGCGTTCGAGAAAACTACCGCTGACGTTTTTCACTATGTTTAACATGGTATCAGAGCAGGTTTTCTGATCTCTTTCGGTGGTCTTTGCTGTCTGCCGGCGGCCAGCCGTCATGGCTGCCGACAGCCCCTAAAAATTTCATACGATTCATTTTCTCTTCTTCTTAAATCTCAGCACCCAGAATCAAAGAGACAAGTCTCCTGGGAACCATCGCCTCCTCTGAACCAGTCGTCGCCTTCTCACAGGCTACCGTCATAGTTCCGACCGGTGACTAGTGGATCTGGACCGTCTCTTTAAGCGCGACCTAACCCTGGCGGTCGCCGTCTTTGTCTCGTTTGCATGCGCTGTCACGCGCCTCCACTCTCCGGAAGTAGATCTCGAACGCGTGTTCATCACGCGCCGCCTTCTCGACGTCGGTATCAAACTGCGTCGCTGCCAGTCGTCTCACCGAACCTCCCTCTCTCTGTTCAGACCTTCCAGAGCAGCCATTGTTGCCATCGGCGTCTGTCTTCTTCTCGCCGCATGCTTCTGCATCTTCGGACCTCCTTATTCTTTCTGCGTTTTTTTGTGCTTCCTCTCTGTTGTAGAGGGTTTCGCCTCTGTATTGCTGTTCTTGCCTTGTTTTTCCTTTCTTATTGTATCTGCCGCACAGATCTGCTGCGTTTATTGCCTCCTTCTCCGCTGCTCTCCTTCATCCACTTCTGAAGTTGAAGTGTTTATTGCCTCCTTCTCCGCTGCTCTCCTTCATCCACTTCTGAAGTAGAAGTGTTTATTGCCTCCTTCTCCGCTGCTCTCCTTTATCCACTTCTGAAGTTGAAGTGTTTATTGCCTCCTTCTCCACTGCTCTCCTTCATCCACTTCTGAAGTTGAAGTGTTTATTGCCTCCTTCTCCACTGCTCTTCTTCATACACTTTTGAAGTTGAAGTTTCACAAGCTTGGTTCACACTTTTGAAGTTGAAGTTGAAGTGTTTATTGCTCACTCTTGAAGAAAAATCATCTAGTTCAAAACCTAGTTTAGTTATTTCAAGCTTGGTTCATACAATTTGTATGCTCCAGCTTGAGGGGGAGTGTTAGAAATATTATATCTTTTATCTTTCAGTTTATCTTTCAGTTAGTTTGTTATTATTTATTATTTGTATTTTGGGCTTAGCCCATATTTTTTCTATTATAAATAGAGAACCCTATGTGTGTTTAACACAAGGAAATTAATCCATAAATAATTTTCACTATATTTAACAGATTCTGAAATGTATATTTGAATTTGGTAGTGTATATCGAATTATTTATTTCGGAATGGTTACAACTATACTCCGATCCTCTCATTCTGAATTACCTATTCTAGAATTCAATTGAAAAACTAAAACATCTATATGCAACCACCATAGACGGCGCAACCGGATAACTACGAAAATCATAAAATAAACACATACCTTTTCTCAACTTGAAGAAATTACTGGATAAAGTAACTTTCCTTCTAGAAGTGAGGAAAGAACAAAGAGAAAAAAGAAAAAAGAAAAAAAGGAATAAGAAAATGAAGTTCAGAGCTGACGGACGACAACTCTGCGGAAGGAAGGAGAAAAATAAAATAAAAAATTTAATTATTTTTTTAATAACATTTTAGAAGGATAGAAATGGAAATTGAAAATGTTAAGGTTGCACAAAGAAATCGAATGAAGGTGCAGGAAGAAATGGCCCTGAAACTATTAGGCTGTTCAGTAAAATACTGCAAACTGCTTGAGTATTTTAGGTGATAAGATTCAACGTATCCTACAAGCTATAAATAACTGTTTTCCAAAAATATGCCTATTATTTTATTTTCTAATACATTCGTTTATCTGTATTATTATATGAAAGAAGATTTTTTATTTTGATGTACACATCTATTTTTTATTTTTATCTGTTAAATAATTATTGTTTTAAAATCAAAATAATTATTTTGTCAATTTTATCTTTAAGTCATCGTTTTTTAAAATTGATATTTTTATTTTTATCTTTTCTTAAATTTGATAATTTTTTAATTAAAATAATTATTTAAAATAAATTTTTAAAAATTATTTATATTTCTTTATTATAATTATAATTTTATTACATTTTTTATGTATAAAAAGACCTACACAACCCATGTACTTTTACTGGTACTCAATAGTTGGAATTGTTTGTTTTTACTATTAAAGATGCCATTGCTAACTTTTTTTTACAAATACACAAAGCCCGTTTTTAATAAAATTGAATTTGTAACTCTACCACACTTATTTTAAGCAATTTTTCTTATTAATTTAAAATTGAAATATAAACATTTGAATTTTGTTTTAATTAAAATAAAAAATGTCAAAAGATAAGGAGATAGAGATAGAAGTAGACTGTAAAAAAGTAAAGGGGAGACAGAAATAAAAAGATTTTCGAGTAGATGCTTAAAAAAATTGTTGAATAATTGACAAATTGATGAGATCAGTAGATAATGATTTGTAGATAAAAGAGCAAGACATGAGGATTTAGTTTGGTCAAACTAAGGTTCAACTTATTAAATTATTCAAATAAATATATTTAAATTTAAATTTAAATTTTAAATAAATTTTCCTTTAATTAACAAAACTGGAACAGAAACCATTCTGTATATCTTATATTATTATAAATAAATACAAAAATCATACATATAAAATAAATGACAACAAAACCCACGTGGCAGAAACTAAGTAGCAACGTTGGCACTGCAGAGCAGAGGAATTTGATCGATCCCTTCATACAAACGAGCAAAAGAGCAAACCCTAACATGGAGTCGCACGGCGGAGGCCCCCTTCGTTCCCGCAGTTCCCAGTCCCCTTCTCCTTCCCACTCCGCCTCAGCCTCCGCCACATCGTCAATCCACAAGCGCAAGCGTGCATCCGAAGACCACGCGCCTCCCTTCCCGCCCTCCTCCTTCTCCGCTGACACTCGCGACGGCGCCCTCACCTCCAATGACGACCTGGAGAGCATTTCCGCCCGTGGTGCCGACTCCGATTCAGACGACGACTCCGAGGACGCCGTCGTCGATGATGACGAAGAGGACTACGACAACGACTCCTCCATGCGCACCTTCACCGCCTCCAGACTCGGTAACCCTCCCTCTGCTCCCCGTAATACCAAGCTCAAGACTGATAACTCAGCTGTAAAAATTGAGAACTCCGACGGCGTAAAAGACGCCGCAAATGCCGGAGCTGGTGCCATGGAGATTGGACCTGTCCCTAGCATTGTGGTTAAGGAGGACCCGACTAAGATTTTTACAGATAATTTGCAAACGAGTGGGGCTTATACAGCTCGGGAAGAGAGTCTCAAGAAAGAGGTATACCCCTTTGTCTGGTTCATCTTAAATCTAGTTCGATTCTATACTTTTTGTTAATGTGAAATTTCAGTTCATTTCAAAATTAACTGTACATTTGATTCTAGTTTGTCAAAATTAAGCAATTCCCATGATATCCAATTTCTGACGGAAAATATAGAAATTTGGAGGTGTCAGTGTGCGTTTGCAATTTTAATTATTCATGTATCGTATTAATAGCAATGTTTAATAACTAATTTTTAACCTATGTTGTCTCTTAAAACTCATGATTTTTTTTTGCAATTAGATGATGATACAGTAATGTTGAACAAAAATTGCTTAATTTTGGAAAAGTGGATAACCAAATGTATTATTAAATTTTTGTAGGGATCTAAGTTGTCCGTTGATGAAATTATGAGGGAGTAGAAGTGTATTTAAGCCAAAAAATGATTAAATATTTTTTAGGTTCAATTATTCGTTTGGTTCCTTTGGCCCCTATGCCTGATGTATATGAATATTTACTCTCTTGTCAATGGTTATAATTATATCGTTCAATGTAATGTGATGGTCTTCTACATTTGGGGCATTTTCGTTGGTTTATATCTTGATGAATAAATTGTTAAAAAAATTATTTGAGATGATAGGTATTCATGGTTGTGACCAACTTTATTGAAAATTTGTCAGGAGGAAGCGGGAAGGCTTAAATTCGTATGCCATTCAAACGATGGTGTTGATGAGCATATGGTTTGGTATGCGTTTTTCGTTTCCCTTTAACATTTTGTCGCCCTGACTATGTCACTACTATCATTATCAGCATATATTATCCACTCGTACGATTATACTATCAAGCATGTAATTTTATTTAATAAAAATATAACTAAAAAATTAACATTTTTTATTTTTGTGATGGCAAATAATTTAAAATAAAATAATGTAAAATATAAGGACTACGTTGACATTCTTCGCTGACATTGAAGGGTAATTTTATTCTAATTAATAAATAGAAGACAGATGTGATTCCATGTTTATATCTTACAGCGTCTTTGGTTACAGCTCAGTTGAATGCAACAACATTTATTTTCAATCCACCAGTGTTGTTCCTTTTCCATTGTGTGTTTGGGAAAGTATGAACTGATGTTTGGAACCATCTCAAACGGAAAACCAAATAACCACGCTTAAGGATAAAAAATCTAAATGAATGTTTACTGTAAAAGTTAAGGTATATTAAAATGCAACTCGTCTAAGTTGGGGAAATAGACTTTGGTGTATTTCTTTCGATAAAAATTGTTTATTTGTGTTTATGGAGTTAGTAGACAAAATAATCATTAACATATATATAATATAAAGATTACTTTAGCTTTTTCAAGAATAAGATTAACTCCTATGCCATATGTTTAATATGTAAAATTGAAAACATATTATGCCTGACACCTCTCCCCAGTCTCTTCCGGTTACATCTACTCGGCACATACATTATACCCTGCCATTGGAACTGGCTTAACGAGATTGAGTTGGCAATTTTATTTGGATTAAAACCTCGGCAAATTTTAATTTTACCTAGATTATCAATTGATCATTAATGATAATGAGTTCCATTCTTGCTTTTGTTATTTGTTCCTCAGGTTGATTGGATTGAAGAATATATTTGCTAGACAACTTCCCAATATGCCCAAGGAGTATATTGTTCGACTTGTCATGGACAGGTAATGTTATCAATCTATTGTTTGGCATATATTGTGATATTTCTTATACAAAATGTCCATTTTTAGATTGCAGATATGTTCAGTTTTTTCTTAACTGACTTTTCTTTCCTCTTTTCTTTAAAATCATAAATCCTTTATTATAAATTTGTAGGAGCCACAAGTCTGTAATGGTCATAAGGCGTAATCACGTTGTTGGAGGTATTACATATCGCCCATATGCTAGGTAACAATTTTTCTTCGTTACTTTTTCTTTATGCAAATCTCTATTTTTTGTCTCAAATTTATATATTATGTTGATTCCGGAGAAAATATAGGTGATAAACTACAATAGGACATTGTAATTAATTACAAGTTCGTTGTTAGAAGATTCTAGAAATCTCTTTGTATTCATTACTTTAGGATTAGGGTTCTTGATTTATAGAGGCTAATATACTGTGTCGAAGAATCAATTCAATAATAATCTTTTCTTTCATTCAGGTTAATCAATTTCATATTATTATGACATTATTTTGTTATTTTTCCTGTTTAAATGTCTGAGAACTGTTTAATTGTTATGACATTTCCTGTTATTTTTCCTATTTTTCCTTTTCATAGATATGATTATAATTTAATTGTTTTGCCTTGTTATATTTTGCTCTCTTTCCCATCTGCTATTCAAGTCTTTCTCGTTCTGGAGCTCTTCCTTGCCCAGCTAATCTATGGTTTTATTTGTTAACACTATTGTGCATTATGATTGACAGCCAGAAGTTTGGTGAAATAGCCTTTTGTGCAATTACAGCTGATGAGCAAGTAAAGGGTTATGGTACCAGATTGATGAATCACTTAAAACAGTATGCACGTGATGTGGATGGGCTGACACATTTTCTCACATATGCTGACAACAATGCTGTTGGCTATTTTATCAAACAGGTTTGATTATTTATATTTACGATCCTTGCTATCTGGGTTGATGTTTATTCCTTTTATGTATTAAGTCATAGCCCATAGCAAGAATCTGAGAAATATTTTACTTTCTAAATCATTTCAAGTCATATTAAAATGAAGTACTATACATATTTCTAATGTGTAGGTGCAATGTGGACTGTGCCATCCGTGCACTGAATCCCACTTGGATTGTGCACAATAGGGATTGTGCAGCCATTTGTAATACAGAAAAGAGTTTGTCATGGCTAGGGGAGCACATTTTGGGAATTTGTATCAATTAAAAAATGCTTAATTTGGGTTAGAAGATCTTACTGTCTGACAAGGGAGATTTTATAGATAGTCATAGTTGGTTTAGTTAAGGAAGAAAAACATACATCATGTATCCGAGACATCACCAGCTGGAACTATACTGTATTTTATAAGTTCCCTTCATGTGAAGCCAACCTCGCATTTACGATAGAACATATACAACTAGGTCAACAAATTCATTTTTGAAGTCTTTTCCCCCTCCCAAGCAACATTTTAAAACCTGGCTCTGACTTGTTGATGATAAACTGGTGTAAAATTGGATTGAGCCAGTATAGTCCAGTCTGAGCGAACTGAGGATGTTCAAATTTGTGCCTTCATACTACTGCAGCAGTTTTCAAGTCTCATGCACATGTGCACAGCTCCTCACACATCAGTGTTCATTTTGTAATCGAAGGATCATTCTTTGTGTGCATCCATCCTGTCTATTCATGTTCTTTAACCGGTGACCCACTAGTTGAACTACTAACCCACCAACCTAGCATCTATAATTGTCTGAGTTTTAGATTATTTCTCCCAAATGTAGAAAATGATTGTTGAGCCAGTCTGTAAACTGAGTTTTTTCGTAAATAGGAGGTCATTGGGTTCAATTTTCCTTCAAGAAACTTTCATGATGATGTTTATTTCTTGTTAAGTTTGTCTAAAATCTGATAGACATAGAAGTAAATTCTTAGATGTAGTAGTAGCTCTATAGCAGTGATAGAAATCTGGATCTTGTTTTTTGGGTTTCATGTTTTAATACTCTTGAAGGTATTTTTGTGCATGAGGAGAGGAAGTTTGTTAAATGACTGTGTTGAATTAACTGGATTCTGTTTTGGATATCTTGAGGATGTTTGATTCTGTTTTCAGGGATTTACAAAAGAGATTCACTTGGAGAAAGATCGATGGCAAGGGTATGATTGTACTTGATATTCTTGTGTGGAAAAGGTCATTCATTTTAAGATTTTATTTACATTCTATTTTTTCATATCTCATTAGATAATGATTTCATCATTCATTATTTTTATATGCTGTATACTATCTATAATGATTCATTTTATGCAATTGTCATTTCAGTTATATAAAGGATTATGATGGAGGAATTCTGATGGAATGCAAGATAGATCCAAAGCTCCCTTACACTGATTTGTCAACTATGATCCGTCGTCAAAGGCAGGTAAGATAATTTCTATTTGCTACTTTTATTAGTTTTTCGTTACACTATTTGAGATGCTGTTTCCGATTAGCATGTTATAAGATATACTAGTGTAAGTTTTTGTTAAAACTTCTGAATATTTCTCAATTAAATGTACGTTCTGTGCTTGTTTCACTTGAAATTAGTTTTTCTTTTTGGTAAAACAGACCTCTGTTTTACAGCTTTTGTTATAGACTTTTCTCTACCACATTCACACACTCACTGCTAAAGTATGTGCAGTGGAGGGGCTGTCAAAAAAAGTTACAGCTGAGAGCTATGTTATAAGATGTACTAGTGGAAGTTTTTATTAAAACTTCTAATTATTTCTCAATTAAATGTACAAGTTTGTGCTTGTTTCATTTGAAATTAGTTTTTCTTTATGGTAAAACAGACCTCTGTTTTACAGCTTTTGTAATAGGCTTTTTTCTCTTTATCACATTCGCACACTGTTAGGGGCTGGCAAGTATACGAGAGAAGGAGGTATAGGAGAGAGAGAGAAGGAGTAGGCCGAGCACCAAACGAGGGAGAGCGTCTAGGACGAGCGGTAGATGAGGGGGAGCTACCAGGACGAGCCCTAGATAAGGGGGAGCGACCAAGACGAGCGGTAGAAGAGGGGCAGTGACCAGGACGAGCGGTAGAAGAGGGGGAGCGACCAGGACGAGCGGTAGTTGAGGGGGAGCGTCCAGGGCGGACGATAGTTGAGGGTAGCGACCAGGATGAGCGGTAGAAGAGGGGGAGAGACCAGGACAAGCGGTAGTTGAGGGGGAGCTACCAAGATGAGCGCTGGATAAGGGGGAGCGACCATGACGAGCGGTAGAAGAGGGGGAGCGACCAGGACGAGCGGTGGAAGAGGGGGAGCGACCAGGACGAGAGGTAGAAGAGGGGGAGCGACCA